AAAGTGTAGTGTGATTCATTTAATTTATAAGGGTTGAATTTCAAATATATCTCTCACACGCGCATTTCCTGGCCCTGTTTTGGCCCTGGTTGACACAAACAGGGCCAAAATGCCCAGTCTGGATGAAATTTCAATAATTACCCCTGATGTCCCACTTTGGGTCAAAAATAAAGGCAGATCAGGTTCCTGACTACCTATATGGGAGTGAAGCTGAAAGGGTAAAGCCAAGTAAATCACACCAGATCTGTTACAAGCCTGTAGCATAGGGGGGTTGGACTCTACACCTCACAGTGTAGAGTACAAGGTACCTAACACTCAGTATTCACATGCTACATCTCGATAAAAGTATGGTCACTAACAATTAATTGTTACCACTATATGTAAGGTGTTAGTTATGGAACATTATTTATAATGTTCAGACTACTGAGTCTTGTTCAAGCAATTGAGCAAGCAAAGTTAAACACTGTGGATTTTTTGCTAATAGCTATGCTTTTACAATAATTCACTTTCGATAAGAGGAGCAAGTACACTAAACAGATTTGTGGAAAGACTTTATGAAAAGCACACGAGTGTCCTCATCACACAGACATCTGAAATGTCCAAACAACAAAGTAAGAAAGACGTGAGTGATGAAAGATTGATATGGGCAGTTCCTGAAACGTCTTGAGTAATAACTCTTTGGGTCAAAAGGTGTCTAGACCTCTAAAGACCGGATGGATGCTTATTTCTACATTGAGCAATGTATATGTGATACTTCCCTTCGCGCATCACCGGTACATTAAGATTAAGTGTTGTTGGTTGGGACCACTAGGCGACTGTACATTAAGGGAAATCAAATAGTGAGAAAATCAACACAAACTTGATTAAGAAGTTTAAAAGAATGTACCCCATATATATACTCTGTTGGGTAACAATTGATCGTGGAGACCTTCGGGATATACCAAGCCCATCAATCAGTCATACTGTTATTTGGAAAATAAAAACAAGTTAACACAGTTGACATGTTATAAAACCATTTGGCATTACCTGAAAAAGGTTGAAACGTGGATATGTAATGTATCTTCAATTGTAACTTGGCATGTTCAATAATGTGGAGAAAGTATCAATGGTGTATAAAGCAGTAGGGTTGAAAGGGTAACACCTAGTAAATCATACCTTCATTGCATTCAATTGCAACACCGGATGAAAGATAATGCAATCTTGTACGCATTACTCGAGTAATCAATTTGAATTGCAAAACAGACAAAGGTGTAAATTGAAAAATTGAACCTGCGTTTATATTCTATATGTCCCATATTAAAAGGATCCAGTTAAGATTCCGCTGGAAGATTGTTCTGCTCAAATGGTTGAATTGTGGGAGTTCGGTTTGTGGGAGTTCGGTATGTGGGAGTTCGAATGTGGGCTTACTTCTTAAGAAAATAACGTATAACTATAATCGTTTGAAAGAACTTTTATGGTTGTTATTTTCTAAAGAAGTTTTATTTGTTGCAATACCACCTAAAGATTTCTCTTAAAAATGAGCATGAACAAGAACAATCTCGTAAGTCCTTGCCCCCGTGACCCCGCGTCACCGGGCTGCCCTGACACCTGACCCCGCGTCACCGGGCTGCCCTGACACCAAAAGGCCTCTAAGGCTTTAAGGGGGAAAACGGGAATGTTCAATGTGGGTGTCGGAAAAAAACATGCTAAAATAAAAACGTGCAAACGTCTAACATGCTGAAATGTGGGAATAAAAACGTGCAAACTTCTAACATGCTAAAATGTGGGAATAAAAACGTGCAAACGTCTAACATGCTGAAACGTGGGAATCAAAAACGTGCAAACGTCTAACATGCTGAAATGTGGGAATCAAAAACGTGCAAATGTCTAACATGCTGAAATGTGGGAAAAACATGCTAAAATGTGTCTAGTTGGTCGTTGAGAAGTGTGCAAAAACGTGCAAAACGAAAATCGGTAATTCCATCATCCAATAGTGATACACTATTAGTTAGAAAAAGCACCTTCCGAGCGATTGAACTTGTTGGAAGTGGGATTAAAAACGTGATAACTTAAAATAGGGGGGCCTTCAGTAAAGCGAAGTGCTTCTCACCATAGAGCCAACAGTTGCAAAAGTTCCTTGAAAATATGCAAATATTGACAAGAGCTTGCGAGGACTGGGGGTGCATTCTCTATGGAGATTATTGTATCACTAAGTGATACTAGTTGATCAGGGTGCAGCGAGTCTTTGACTTGCTGCACCCTGGTTGGCGTTTAGGATTATCACTTCATGATGATTCTACAAATGGCACTTCTGGGTATGTTACCTTGATCATAAGCCCAAACAAACCAATGTTAGAAGTTCTTCTGGCCCCTAAAAAGGCTGGAAGAAGGTCTGACCGGCTTTTACCTTAACCCAGAGGTGCATTGTGGCCTTTTAAAAGGTTAGCAGTGTATCAGTACGTATCCCAAAGGCAACTTTGAGTTACATTACCCATAATTTACCCCATTTACCACTTAAGAAGTTTTAAGAATGAACCAAAATAGGGAAGGCTATGTTGTGAAAATGCGTACCTTCTCATCGTAGAGCCAATGGTTTTGAAAGTTTTCTGAAACACATCATTGATGTGAGAAGTGACTTGATAGCCAGGGGTATAATCTCTATGAAGATTAAAGGGTGTCATAAGACATTCGTTGATTGGGTTGTAGCTTGTTTCACGACTTGCTGCACCCTGGTTGACAATATACGTGAAGCTTGGAGCTCTTTCCCGATCACGTTGCAAAGGGAGTGAAGAAATTCACATGACTTACATGTCTTAGGAGTTTGTTAGCTGCTGTTGTTTACAAAAACCAGATGCTCTCGCCCAGTGTTTGGTGGAGTAAACCTAATGGCTTCAACGGCCGTCGCCGGAAAGACAATCCTCTAAATGAAATGAAAAATACTATTAAATCAGTTCCGACGGTTCGTTGCCACAATGTGGAGACGGCCATGTCCTACAGGGAAGGATACGTAGAGTGCTCCTCGAGCTCTATGGTTAATAGGGTTTCTTCGGTTTCCTTAGAGGCAGATGTGAATTGTTCTGGACGGGGTTCATCATCTGGGGCCATTACTAGTTCCACGTCAGATGTGAATTGTACTGGACGGGGTTCATCATCGGAGAATATTACTAGTTCCACCGCAACTAAAGTCAAAAGCTTTTATTGCAGTCCTGAAAATGACTTCTCGGAAGGAGGTCGGATTCGGGATAAGATTATTACTGGTCCTTTCAAAGGTATCAGGATGGAGGAAGAGTATCGGGCAGTGAATGAAGGCCAAAACCCAATTCCACTAACCTTTGCTCTACCACCGATTAAGCCCAACACAGTTTACTGTGCGGCGCCATCCAAAGTAGCAAAATCAGATGAGATGGTGGTACCACTCATCCCAAAAGGTTTAACTACACTTGGTCGAATTGGCAAATTCTGTGATGCTTCTCAATCCGAAGAATCTGACTCGCAAGAACCAGAGGATTCCATATTGGGAGGCTCTGCACGTATTCCTAATATTGGGTCAACCAATAGCCAGTCGTTGGAATTGGACTTTGTTCAATTCATTGGTTCTTCCACTGGTAGTTCCAAGTCGGATGGTTCGAATTTTGTTGCATTTATTGATTCATCTGATGAACAATTGAGCTCCACTCACAGTGATGATGATGGAGAAAAACCAGTATCCGAAAACTCAGTTGAGTCTTCTGTACCAAGTTTGCAGGCAGCGCCGCTGGGTTGCTTTGCTTCCCGCCGCAAACAGATTAATGCTGTCAATGACAGTGAACGGTGTGTTACACCCGTAGATCAACAGGAGAGGCTACCTAGTAACCTTCTTCCATTTACAAACTCAGTCACTGATGCGCGTCTTACTCCCCAAGCAATCCGCACATACAATTGGCTTCGAGAATGTAACATTATTTTTGGGAAGGGATCTAACCAAATCAAAGCACAAAGCATGCTTAAAGACTCTGTATTATTTGGAATTCATAATGTGACTTCAGATATAACGCAAGTCGATATTTGGACATTTCTCAAAGCACGCCTTGATGTTGCTCAGATTGAAAAAGTCCGTGCAGTATTAAAGGTGCGCCAACCCTTCAAAAGACTCAGATATAATGTTTGGGTCTCCCCAGACTTGGCCACTGGTCTGGGGAAATTATTAGAACTGACCTATGAAGATAGACAGTTATTGACGTGCACCTTGATGTCCCGTAAGACTCAAGATTTCTGGATTGAGGGTCAGCCTAAGTTGGATTGTTTCTCTGTGAAGGCCTGGCGAGTTAACCTTGCTAAGGACTGGAGGGATGCTGTCGCACCTAGATCACTGGCTCCAGCTCGTGCACCTCAGAATGATAAACGTAATCCTTCACTAGTTGCTTGGAACTCCAATGGCTTCAACTACAAAGACATGGCCTTGGAAAGCCTTGCAAACCGCACAAACGCTGCAGTTATAGTGTTAGGAGAGCATCTACGTAAAGTAGAAAATTACGAGCCAAAGATTAGAAACTTTCGCTCATATACTCATCCAGCCAAACCTGGTTTCCGGGGACTTTGTATGATGGTTAGAAACGGTGTTGGTGCATATGAAAAGCCAACCGGTGTTCCAAACATCATGCATCTAGTAGTCACTGGACTGGATGATAAATCAGCTTGGCATATCTTTGGAGTCTACTTACAGTCTGGATCTAATCACGGTAGGATGCGAAAAACTCAACTCCTGCCAGTTTGGGAGATTGTTAACAAGCTCTTAGACAAAGATCCAGAATGCAAAATTGCAATTGGAGGTGACTTCAATATGTCCAAGAGTGTTCTAAGTACATTGGCAATTCGAAAAACGAATGGTCAGATGACCGTAAAGCCATGTACCGGTTCACACTTAACACGTCTTCCCCGCAAAGGAAAGCGTAATGGAATTGATCATTGGGTGATCTCATCTTCTCTGCGTGATTTGACAGCTAATGTTAAAGTACAACGGGAGATGTCCATATCATACAATGGCCTTTCAGATCATGCAGCTGTTCGTATGAACCTGCAGACAAAGAACTCACATTCCGAGTCAATTAAAGCCCCAAAGAAATTTTGGGACAGGAACTTGCTAAAGGTTCACTCTTTCGAGCTTCTAGTAAATGATGCTTGGGAGGGTTTCATCGAAGCGAGTGAATTAGATGATATGAGAGAAAACTACCAGACTTGCCTTGAGAAAGCGGCAGAAGAGATTGGCATTCTAAAGACAGGTGCAGTAGGACGCAAGTCCCACTACCCTCGTAAAATTGCTAGACTCTTACGCGCAGCACGAAAGGCAAAGGATGTCTATCTCTCTATCAATAAAGGAGCCACCCCAGTCTCAGAACTGGTTAGACGTGCTAGAATTGCTGAGGAAGCTTCTCGACGTGCTTCAGTTGCTATCCGCAAGTTTGAGAAAGAACAAAAGGCTCAAACACAGCGTAAAGCCGTTGAATTACTCCGTGGACATGACATGCTTGAATACCACAAGGAAATCAAGCGTCGATTGCCAGATCATTTTGGAAAGTGTAAAAGCCAACCAATCCCTTGCATTAATGCAAAGGGAGCATTATGCGTGACGGAAAGTGACATCAATCTTGCAGAGTTTGAACACTTTAGTCAATTAGCTTTGGATTCTACAAAGGTTTCCAAAAACGCCGCTTTCTGGGAGAACCTCACTTGTGAGGACAAACCTGTAAGGTTCAGTTAGAACCTTCACTGAGGGGTCCGGAAACTAGTCCGGCACGACTTCTCACGAGAGCGATGGACTTGGAACTTCGGTATAATTACGATCTAGCTCCGAAAAGTCACCCAATATGCTCTCTGAGGAGTCAGCAACCATCTAACAACGTAAAGACCACAAAGAAATAAAGAGAAATGAAATATAATTGAGAAACTCACCTAGCTCCGAAAAGTCACCCAATATGCTCTCTGAGGAGTGAGGACTCTTCGAAGCCGGGCGTTGAGAAAGAAAGGTAAGGAGTATCCTGTCTAATCCCATACTATGAAACCCCATGCCTACTCGTCACGTGTACTCCTTACACCCCCCCTTTCTAAAAATAATCTAACACCCTCCGTTGAAACCAATTTATGTAAGAAAGTAAATAAAAACTAAAGAAAAGGAAACACACCAATGGCATAACTCGCCCCTTAAAATTGAAATAAAATAAAAATTTGTGTAAAAAAATTAATAAATAAAAAAAAGAGAAAGAGAGAAACATATCCTGAATTGAATCTATATATATAAGATGTATAAATAAAACGAAAAAATTGTTGAAAGAACATGAGAAAGTCATTATAATTCATTGATCATTAACTTGCAGCCTTGACGTAATTCATTATCTTGAAGTCTTGAGGTAATTTCATTATCTTGAAGTCTTGAGGTGATTTCATTTGATTTCATTGTTATCTTGAAGTTTCTTCTTTCATTCCAAGATGATTTTTGTGTTAAGGGATCTGTATTTTAGGAAAGAATATTGCTTGCCAGCCGTTCACAAGGAATAATGAGAAGAATTTAATTATCGCACTCACATTGCGGGGGTGTTAAACGCATCATTTGACACACACCCCCTTGTCAATAAACCTAGCGTGCCCCAAGGGTTCCAATTCAGGACCTGTCGGGGATTTTTTCGGTATTGACAAACCCCACACGGTGGGCGCAATGAAATCGAGATCTTGTCGTGGTTCCATGTGTGTTGACATTTCGGTGGGAAGGGTTAAACTGTTATTCAGGAGAGAGGAATGCTTGCCCAGATTTTCTTTAAAACATGGGTTGAAAAAATTAGCACACTCACATTGCGGGGGTGTTAGCGCATTAACTCGAATGCACACCCCCTCGTCACAATTCCTAGCATGCCCCATGGGCTCCTCTCGAGTCTCTTCTGGGGGTTGTTCCGGTTGTGACGAGACCAAATTTATGGCCGCAATGTCTTCTTCGTTTGATTCCATCAATGCCGAATGATAAAGTTTGAGCTTTGATATGTGGAAGACTGGAAACGAAAGGTCGTCTGGTGGTAGTTGAAGACGGTAATCTCTTCCGCCGTTCAGCACTTCCAAGATTTCGTACGGCCCGTCGTATCGTGCTCGAAGCTTGCTGGTGCCTTTGAATTTGCCACCAACGACCTGCTGTCGATCCGTGCTGTCGACCATGACCCATTCGCCAGCTAGGAATGGTTTGCCTTCCCGCCGTCTTTGATTATATTGAAGCGCTTGCTCAACTCGATTTGACCACAGCTTGTCTCTCCACATAGCCCATTCAGATTGCCGTCTCTCGATCCAGTGTTTCACGTCGGCGCCATCCTCTTCCATTGGGTTTTGGATTGGGAACAGTCGAGGCACCCGCCCGTATACGAATTGGAAAGGGGACACACCTGTCGCGACATTGATGGCCGAATTAATCGCAAATTCAGCCGACGGTAGGGATTGGAACCACTTTCCGTGCTTTTCTGCTGCATGATGACGGAGGATTTGACCGACAGTTTTATTTGACCGCTCGCTTCGACCGTCCGCCTGTGGATGATATGAAGTAGACAAGTTCACCTTGACCCCCAGAAGCTCATGGAGGCGTTGCCAAAAGCGTGATGTCCAAGCCTTATCCCGGTCACCGATGATGGAACTCGGGAGGCCAAAAATTGAGGACCACGCCGCAAATAACCTAGCCGCTGAACGCTCCGCCGTGTCGCGCTGTGAAGCTGGGATTAGTCGTACAAAACCTGTTAGCCTGCAAGTACAAGTCAGGATCATGTCATAACCTGACACCTTGGGAAAGGGGCCTATGAAATCAATTGCGATTGATTCCATTGGGCTGGTAGGTATGTCGGGCGTTTGTAATTTCCCCGTCGTTGAAGTTGTCCGCGCCTTATTCCGTTGACAGGAATCACAAGATCGTAACTGATTCTCTACGTCTTTTGCCATCCCTGGCCAGAAGAAATTGGTTCGGAGACGGGCTAATGTCTTCAACACACCTAAATGTCCTAGCGCACTATGAGCTTGTGAAGTGAAATCCCGTCGCAGGTTACCATAGTTCGGCACTACCAGTCGTCCATCTAAGTATATCAGATTGTCCTGTATGACACAGTCTTCCCGCAGAGGCAAGACTTTGCGTAGTTTGATACAAAACTTGTCCTGCTGGTATCCATCACGAATCAATTGAACTTCTTCAGATGCCAGAGTTCCTCGTACTTCACACAATGCTACATCATCTCGTCGAGAGAGAGCGTCAGCGACAGAGTTATCTTGACCTCTTAGGTATTTGAAGTCGAGATCAAATTGAGACAGGGTTTCGAGCCATCTTGCTTGACGGCGACTCAGATTGCGCTGTGTTAGGAGGTTAGTAAGTGAATGGTGATCAGACATCACGTTCACCCGCATACCCAGAAGCAATAGTTTCCACTTATTCAGTGCGTTGACGACGGCCAGGAGCTCCTGTTCATGAACTGGATAGTTCTTTCAGCCGGGTTCATTGTGCGGCTTTCGTACGCAATTGGAGATGAAGTATCTCATTGTGTACCTTGGAATAAGGCTGCTCCAAGACCGTTTCCACTAGCGTCGGTGAAAAGCCACAATGGTTCATCCGAGTCGTAATCCAGATTGCGTAATACTGGCAGTGTAGTAATTAAGCGCTTGATGTTGTTGAACGCATGCTCTTCTGCCTCCCCCCACCTGAATGGTTTACCTTTCAAACCTGTGCTAGTCAGCGGTGTAAGCGTTCCTACATAATGTGAAAGCCCATCGATGAATTTCTTCATCCATTGAACGGTGCCAAGAAATTTCAGGAGTTGTTTGGAATTGGATGGAGACTTCCATTTTGAAATCTTTTCTACCTTCTCGTCATCTGGACAGACCCCCGCTTGACTGATTTCATGTCCGAGAAACTTGATGCTCCGCCGAAAAAACTTACTCTTCTTTGATGAACAGTATAATTTAGCAGCTCTTAACCTTTCTAATACTTGCCGCACATGTTCTTCATGTTCTTCGACTGTCTGAGAAAATATGACGATGTCGTCAATGTAAACCACACAGATCTTCCCAATCAATTCTCCCAGAATCTCCTCATTTCTAGCCTGATGGGTCGCTGGACCGTTGGTCAGACCCATAGGCATAACAACCCACTCGTGCAACCCCCAAGGGGTCTTCACCGCTGTCAGTGGAATGTCTTCTTCCCGCATTCTGTCTTGAAAGAAAGAATTGATTTGGTCAATACTAGACCATATCTTTCCTGTTGCCACTATTCTGATAGATTCGTCAACATTAGGTAGGGGAGTACGATCCTTGACCGTATATTTGTTCAAGGTCCGGTAGTCACATACCCACCGAGGCAGCTCTGTCGGGTCCTTCTTTGGAATAATCATTGAAGGAGAGCCGTACTGACTATGAGATCGACGCAAGCGTCCTGCCTTTATATGCTGATCCAAAAGTTTTCGCCATGCATCTCGGTGTTTCAAGGGGTACCCATATTGTTTCTCATTGATCGTGACATTTGGATCAGTGAGAACGATTCTATGTCTAGCATGACGCTTCACGTCTGGTAATCCATCAGGAAAAACCTCATCCGGCGGTTCACCTTCTTCTACAGGTGGAAGTTCCGCCGGGAACATCTCTTCAAACTCTCTCAATACCGCAGCCTCGCGCTCACTCAGATCTTGAACCTCATCAATCTTATTCAAATTTTGGATAACACAAAGCAGCCTATTCAATTCAGATTGCATTTCTTTTTCATATAAAATCTTGCCGGTTGTTGTGTGTAATACAGCTCGACGATGAAGAGAAACGTCTAGTTTAAATTTGGTTAAAAACGGCGAGCCTAAGATCATGTCGTAATTCGATCCAAGTGGCGCCAGCTTGAAAAACACGGCTCCAAAACGAAGACTGGGTTGTTCAGATTTCAAGTTAGCAATCGCAAATTCCCGCAACACCAAAGGTGTGCCTTCAGTTGGGATTGCGAGGCGTACCTCGACAGGTGCCACCAACGGCCTACGGCATACATGTAATTCACGCGCCATTTTCTCGGATAACAGATTGGTCCCCGCTCCTGAATCAATCAGAGCACGAACCCGTTTTCCATTGCATGTCAGTTCTAGGATGATGGGAGCCGTTGACAGTGGAGGTACGCACCGGTCATCTTCGTCTGCCATCTCTTCCACTTGTTCAAGTTTAAATTGATCTGCTTCCTCGTAAGCTGCAATGTCTTCCGCTAATAGATCTGGGAAAGTGTCGATTGCGGCTACACGCGCGGAAGCAACAGGCGGTCTTCCTGCAGGGAGCTGAGTTGGAGCGCCTGGAGGTGCGGCGGTGGCGTTGTTCATGTTGGAACGTGTCGGGCGTGGGCCAGGATTAAAGTCTAACGGAACCGAGATGAACTGCACACCCTTTTTGGTGCAACTTGGATTGTTGCATTTTTCTTTACAAGATGAGCAGATACCCGAGCGCGTGAGGTATTCATGGTATCGCCAAGCATTGCTAGCCCGCTCTTCATCCGATTTAATTCTGCCAACAGGCGCACGAGTTGATGGCTGAGTCAATGAAGAAGTCGCAGCAGAGGTTCCCACAGGTTGTTGTCGTTTCGGAGTTCCCTCAGATAAGAGTTTAGAAGTCACAAGGAATCTCCATATTCCATGTGCCGCCGCTTTGAATTCAGGAAATGAGAAGGGGTCCTTGAATAAAAGCTTCTCCCGGTCGACCCAGTCTCTGAACAGTTGAGGAGCTCCCCAAGTAATGTATTCTGCCAGATTTTGATCGGTCACTCGTCCCACTCTCTTGACTAGCCGATGTAAGGCTTGTGCCCGATTCACAAAGGCGTCAAAAGATTCGGATGGCCGCATCTCGATTCGTCGTAGGGCTACGTCAGTGTCTGTCGACCACGCATGAGGGAGCGTGCCTAGCGCCATCGTCTTCATAGCATCAACCCATGATTGTTGACGTAGCGTGTCTTTGTTTGATTGATACCATGCCGACATCTCTTCGTTATCGAGGAGGGAACCGAGTAATTTGAGCTTCTCGCGATCGTCCGTGAGGTTTTTAACTTCAAATGTTTCTTCAATCATATCTTGCCAGTGAAATAGGTCGGCAGGTCTACCAAATTTGCCATTGAACTTCGGCAAATCGCTCAGCTTAATCCGCTCCGCTGTCATGGTTGTTGATCCCGAAATCGTCGGCATCCCTTGAAAAGGGGGATAATACGCTTGCATGTAAGGTGCGTACATGGCAGCCGCAGCTTGTGGCGATAGAGGCGTAGTCGGCGGGTAAGTCATCTGAGGGGGTGCATTTGGCATTGACTGGTGTCTCGGTTGGTTGTCCTGACTAGCCAAGTGTTCCTGGCGTTCCGTGGTCCCACCTTCGACCTCTACAGGCTGCGCATTTCCGGGTGTTGACATGAGATTGGCGCTCACTGCTGGGTTAGCGTTGGTCGGTCCTTGTCTGGTTTGATCACGAGGCAAGGGCGAGGGCGAATCGGGGGTTTGACGTGTGTATTTCGCAAACGGGTGCGTAGTGCTAGTCGATGGGCCTACCGTTTCTTGAATGCTTTCAGATTGAAAGCTGCTGTTGACCGCCGCAGCTGATTTTTCCGCCATCAGCTCTCGTACTAACTTTTGAAGAGCTAGTGTCTCTTGTCGAGTTTGTGCCAAAGTTTCGTTCTGAGCTTTGAGGCTCTCGACTTGTTGTCGTAAGGCCTCGATTGTGTCTTGATCGTTTGACATGGTATGTGAGGATTCACACGTCAACGTCGGGCCGGATAAGGTCACGTCAGGAGGTTTGGATTCAGGAGTCTCGATGGAAAAGTGACCAGGTGGATGAGGAGTATCGGTGCTCTGTTGTTGATCAAAGAGTTTCTTGAAATGCAAGTCAATTACAGTTCGTTCCGATGCTGAAGGTGAGATAGGTGGCGGAGAAAAATGAACAGCAGAAACCGTCGCAGGGCTGGGTCGATGACTTGAAGCGTACAAAATACGGTCAGTTGGCGCTGGTGAGCCCGATACTGATGCTTCAGGTCTCCAAGAGTACCTCGCCGGCGGTGGTGCTGGTGGTGTTTCGGCTGCTTCTTTTTGTTGTTGTTTAGCTTTTCGAGCTTCTCGAATCAAGCTATCAGGGTCGTCAAGAAAATTCTCAGGTTTCAATGAAGCGCCGCCGATCATTCGGATACTCCACAGCTGGACAGATAGGCCGGATGTTGACTGAGCTGAAGTGAGATCGAATTCGTAAGGTTCGACCGACAGAACTGGATTGGTGGCAGATTGGCAGATTGACAGGTGGCAGATTTGACAGAATGACAGAAAAAAAGATAAAAATAGAACGAAAAAAATGGTGAAAGTGTTGTTGTTGATGATTTAGGTTTTTGATTATTATGTTCGAAGTGAACAAGTCAAAAAAAGTGTAAGGTTCAGTTAGAACCTTCACTGAGGGGTCCGGAAACTAGTCCGGCACGACTTCTCACGAGAGCGATGGACTTGGAACTTCGGTATAATTACGATCTAGCTCCGAAAAGTCACCCAATATGCTCTCTGAGGAGTCAGCAACCATCTAACAACGTAAAGACCACAAAGAAATAAAGAGAAATGAAATATAATTGAGAAACTCACCTAGCTCCGAAAAGTCACCCAATATGCTCTCTGAGGAGTGAGGACTCTTCGAAGCCGGGCGTTGAGAAAGAAAGGTAAGGAGTATCCTGTCTAATCCCATACTATGAAACCCCATGCCTACTCGTCACGTGTACTCCTTACACCTTGCCCCTCAGGTTCCTCTCTCTTCCCTCTAATCACCTCTCATGTGGTTCTTCCCGAGACCTCTCTATCTCTTTCTTCTCTCTCTCAATCCTCGATATGTACAAGGCCCCCTTTAGGGTATTGAGACAGTCTGGTGCTAAGTGTATGGGACTCCACGTTTGTTTGAAAGGGAATTGGGGAAAGACGGAAGGCGGAAGTATAGTTGGAGAAGGAAATTTAAAGAGGTGGTTTAGAGGTTGGTAATCTGGGATTTTATATACGAAAGCTCTTGACTTGATATGACCTGCTTTGTACGTCCCGTGGCTTTCACTCGTAGCTGTGACTGAAGGTGCAGTTGAAGAAATTTTCGGGGATATTGACTTGTGCTTACTCTCTCCATTTCCGTCTACTTGTTCTTCTTCTTCTCTCTCTAGCTCTTCTTCCTCCTCGTCTCCTTGTTCGTTCCCCGGTAGTCCTTTCTTCTGTATCTGGCTGTTTGTCGTCCCTGTTGGGTTGTTGTTGTCTCCAGTCCTTCCGGTATTCGTTTCTACTCCTGCCGTTCCGCTTCCGCTACTTCCTTCTCCTCTGTTGGCTGACTGGCTCCTTGTCACTGTCCTACTTGTACCTTCTACCTGACCTTTCTTTTTCATTTTAATTCCTGCCGCTATAAGCTTTGCTTCAGTCTCTTCTAACTTGTTTGTTAATGAGGTCATTGTACTTCCAGGTGTTTCCGGTTTTCTGAAATATACACTCTTGTTTCGTCACGTGTTGAGATCCTGCTGGCTATTTTGAGAATCTCCAACCGTGAGAATGGATAGTTTCCGAAATATAGTAAAGATTTGGAGGCGCGCTGCACTGCCGTCTTGGGGGGGTTTTGGCGGTCCTTTTTT